CATTGGAAAGCATTACTCAATGATTTCCTACGGACGTCCAGCGTCTTCTCATTGTGATATTCACAGTGAGAATCGCGGAAGCACTGTCACGGCTACATAAAAAAGGAATACATAAAAAAGGAAAGGAAATAAAAGGACAGAGTGTAAACCGGACCTTAATACGCTAGAGATAGAGAATGATCAAAGGTAAAGCCGAGGTCAAGGAAGCCAGAAATACTCGGATACCGTTTAAACAAGCCAAGTCAGGGGAACCAGAATTCGGAATAACCAGGGAAAAGTCAAGATCAGGATACCAGGAAGTCAGATTCACAAAGATAAACGCACTCTTGGGAACCAGGAACAGGAAACCACGACAGGGCAAGGAACTGGAGTGAATTAGGGATTTAAATATACCTCTCTGGGCTCTGATTGGTCAGAGGGTGACATCTGACCCCAGAATGTGCGCGTGCGTTGACGTTGTGACGTCACACGCACGTCCGTATAAATTTGAGGGGCGGAGCTTGTGGTGTGTGCGACCAAGTGGTCAGCGCCATCTTTGATTTGGGCGCAATGCCTAGAAGACGCGGTGGAGCAACAGTATCCCCCCACTCAAATACCGGTCACCGGGCGGGAAGGATCCGGCTTATGAGGGAAGCGGTTGTGAAACGATCGGATAAGACGGGGCGCAGGAACCCAACAACGTTCCTCAGGACCATATCCTTTCCAGTCAACTAGATAAGACAAAATACCCCTGGAGATTTTGGAGTCCAATACAGAACGAACTTCGTACAGTATGACTTACTGCGTACTGTGAGCGTAAAGGTGGAATAGTGGTTGATGGGAGATACATCAGACCTGATTTGCTAAACAGCAACCAGAGGATTTTCAGTTAAATGCCCCAGGGAGAGAGGTTAAAGTTTGCAATATGCATAGCTGATGCTCTGCAAAACCTGGTATGGGTCCCTGGGGCGGAGTATTTGGAGAGCAGGGTGGGCCAATGCTCCAACAGCACTAGTTGCTGTATAACAGACCACAGCTTGGATCTGATTTTAAGAGTTAACTAATTGGCACTCACCTGTAGCTACTCAATTAGTAGACAGGCCTTTAAAAGAAGAGAGCAGCCTGCTGCAGAGTGAGGGAGAAAAAGACAGCTAGGAGAGATTGTGTTTATTGCAAAGACATTGCTTTTGTTTGGAAAATTGGTAAGTGGGAAAGCCACCCAATTGCAGATAGCAATTACTGTCTAGTAAGAGCTCAAGTAAGAGCAAGGGATTTTGTTTGTTTTGTTATTATTTAAAGCACCTGTTTTCTTACTGAATAAAAAGGAAAACTGAGCTGAATGTGTCCTGGACTTTGTATACCCTAGAAGGCTGTGGTTACTGCAAGATCTGTGACAATCCTACCTGTAAAAGAGGTGGTTTGTTACATATGGTGGAGAATGCGGGCAGCCACGTAAGCCTGAGGGTAGAAGTCATTTAAAGCTCAACATGGAGGATGTTATCAAGGCTCTGATCCAATCCACCTCTGTGCAACAGGAGACTAACAGGAGAGATGCAGAAAACAGTGCAGCCCTGCAGCAACTGGTGCTGGCCCAGGCAGAGTGTGCTAAAGTCCTGGCCAAAACACAAATGGAGTGCACTGAGTCCTTGGTGAAACAGCTTGTTGTGACACAAGCGGAGATGTTTAAAGTAGCCCGTGAGGAGCAGCAAAAAGTCACCCAGGGACTACAACAGGAAATCCAAGCTATCTCTGAAAAACTGAATGGAGACCCTGATGGAAGATACCAGGGGCCAAAGGTGATTCGGGCGAGCCACTATCTTCAGAAAATGACCGCATCAGATGATGTTGAGGTGTACCTTCTGGCATTTGAGCGCACTGCTGAGAGGGAGGGATGGCCTGCTGGTGAGTGGGCAAGCATACTGGCACCGTTCCTAAGTGGAGAGCCGCAGAAGGCATATTATGACCTAGAACCAGCCGATGCAAGTATCTACAGCAAATTGAAAGCTGAAATCTTGGCACGACTGGGTGTAACCTCTGCAGTACGTGCCCAAAGGTTCCACTCATGGTCATATTCTTCAGACAAAGCCGCACGTTCCCAAATGTTTGACCTCATACACCTTGCACGGAAATGGTTACAACCTGAAATCCATTCAGCTAGCCACATTGTGGAAACCTTAGTAATGGACCGGTTTTTGCGTGGTTTACCAGCTTCCCTGCGTCGCTGGGTCAGCCAAAGTGACCCCCATACAGCTGACCAACTGATTGCCTTGGTGGAAAGATATGTGGCTGCAGGAGAACTGCTATGTCCTACTTCACAGGCAAACCCTCGCAATCCTAAGCCCCAAGATTCTGCAAGACCTGGTAAGACTGTTCAAGGTTTAAGGGGAGCTGAAGAGCTGCAGCTCTATACACAAAACACCAGGGGGGCATCCAGGTCTAATAGGCCTGGGAGAGGAACTAATTGGTGGGCAGATTTTACTGTCAAATGTTTCAAGTGCAAAGAGGATGGTCATATGGCCAAAGACTGTCCATTGAAGGATGAACCTATGGAATGCAATATGGGCAAAGATGAGGGAGCACGTTCATTTTTGCTCAACTGTTATGGTACTGTTAACAATGACTATGATAATAACCCTCATAAATGCTGTGTAACTGTGAATGTTAAAATGTCTAAAGCATTACTTGATTCGGGTAGTATGGTTACGTTGGTAGCAGAGTCTGTAATACCTTGTGTAAAACCTGATCATGTACAGAAAATAGGCATTATCTGTGTTCATGGTGATAAAAAGGAATACCCCACTGCGGAAGTAAATATTGGAACCCAGTATGGGGATTTAAAGTACCGAGTGGGTGTAGTACCTAGATTAGCCCATGAGGTAGTGATCGGTAGAGACTTTCCTCACTTTCTAGAATTATGGGCAGCTGTACAAAAGAGGGACCAAACTTTATCAGAAATTAGTCAATCGGCCGAGGATAATGTGTTCCCTTTTTCCGATATTGACTTGGGTTTTTACCATTGTGATGGAAAAATAAGAAAAAGGAGAAAGTACTGCCCTAAACCAGTATTAATAGGAGATAACCCAGCTCAAACTAGTGAGGAGCCTACTAATACTGCAGACAAAGATAAGGACTTAATTGATATTGGAATCAGTCCAGGTAATTTTAAAAGTGCTCAGTGGGAAGATCCCACTTTAGTGACAGCTAGAAATGATATTAAAGTTGTAAATGGGGTTGCTAATCAGCCAGGAGAAGCCCTACCGTTCCCCTATTTTGAAGTACAAAATGACATAATTTACCGTGTAGAGAAAAGGGATTCAGACATCATTAAGCAGTTGTTGGTTCCTCAGACTTACCAAAATATAGTGCTAAAGTTGGCTCACAGCCACATATTAGGGGGACATTTGGGAGTTGAAAAAACTAGAGAGAGAGTCCTTAGAAGGTTTTACTGGCCTGGAGTGTTTGCTGCTATTACAAACTATTGCTCCTCTTGTCCAGAGTGCCAGTACAGGGCTCCTTTCAAGACTTTTCGTAGTCCACTTGTACCCTTACCCATAATTGATGTACCTTTTGAAAGGATCGCTATGGACTTAGTGGGGCCACTGGTAAAGTCTGCTAGAGGACACCAATATATATTAGTCATCTTGGACTATGCAACTCGTTACCCTGAGGCCATTCCCTTGCGTAATACCTCTGCAAAGTTAATAGCTAAGGAACTTATGTTGATGTTCAGTAGGGTGGGTATCCCTAAAGAAATCCTGACAGACCAGGGGACCCCGTTCATGTCCAAAGTCACAAAAGAGTTGTGCAGGCTCTTGCAGGTTAAACATCTTAAGACCTCAGTATATCACCCACAGACTGATGGTTTAGTAGAGAGGTTCAACAAAACCCTTAAGAGTATGCTACGCAAGGTAATTGATGCTGATGGAAGAAATTGGGATTTTTTATTGCCATATCTACTGTTTTCCATTAGGGAAGTTCCACAGGCCTCCACGGGCTTCTCTCCTTTTGAATTGTTATATGGAAGACATCCCAGGGGAATATTGGATATTGCTAAGGAGACCTGGGAACAGGAGACTACTCCTCACAGGAGTGTAATTGAGCATATAGCTCAAATGCAGGATAGAATGGCCACCATCATGCCTATTGTCAGGGAACACATGCTGGAAGCCCAGCAAGCTCAGAAAAAGGAAAATTTGCTTCATACTTACCGTAATTTTCTTTTTCTGATAATTATTCATGGCAGCATTTACTCATGGGTTAGCTCCTCCCCTCACAGCAGAAAGGACAGGAAATAGAACTCTGACAGTGGTATAAATAGATCCTCCCCCTTCCCATCAGGCAGTCTTAGTAACTAGCTTCACATCTTATAGTATATGGGTGGGAATGTAATGCTGCCATGAATAATGATCAGAAAAAGAAAATTACGGTAAGTATGAAGCAAATTTTCCTTTTTTCCTGACATTATTCATGGCAGCATTTACTCATGGGGAATACCCAAGCAGTATATATCGAGGGAGGGACAGAGTTCAAAAACAGCCAATAGCTATAAAACCATTATTGAGCTGCATAAACCTTAGAAGACTCTAAAAAATGCCAAACAAGACATCAATAGGATGTTGTCATACATTCTGCTCAGACAAGTTAAATAATCTAGAGGCTGCAAGGTCAGCAACCTCCTGGCATTCAATATCTGAAATATCCTGAATAAATATAGTCAGATAGGAATTAAGGCCATGATAGCATAAGACAGAGAAGGATAATGCCATTTTGATATAAAATTTTAAACCAAATTGATGACCTCATCAGATCAGAACCTTGACAAAAGGCACAACAGAAGGTTGGATGAGAACAGACACACCATGCTATTAAACATGGCGAGAATTACACTGAGAATCCTACTACTCTCTGGATGTAATTATTAATGACGATTCACACTGCTTCCTCTTGCCTTGTGAACTACTTACCTGTGGATACAGGAAATAAATCAATACCTTCCTGTCAGAAAGAGGCAGAGCCTCACACCGTGGATGAATTGATACAATAATGATCAGGCACAGGAGAGGTATAAACCAATGACATTACTAGGCAAGGGCAAGAAGAGTCATATACAGATTAGTTAAAGAAAGAAAAAAAGAGACATCGGTATGAACCGTGGAATTTGTGGAAACTCCTAAATTATAAGTAGGACAATCACGTCAGTACCTACATTCAAAGAAACATTGTAAATAGTACAGATTATGCCAAACAGTATAATCAAATTTATTAGAGACCGTTGTGTAACACAAGTAGGAGATATGTAATCGGCAGGATAATGATGAGAAGGTGGTAACCAGAGGCACATGATCCATTGTGGCAACCGACACATAATAAGCAGGATAGTAGAAGATATTCAGTTATCCTTATGAGAACAAACAACCGCATACTTACTCTTACCTTATCTTCAGATAGCGAAGAAGTACTATGGCAGAGCTTATGGCAATAATAAGCAGTTTGTATTATTCTTACCTTATCTTCAGATAGCGAAGAAGTACTATGGCAGAGCTTTTGGCGATAATAAGCAGTTTGTATTATCTGCAAGATATCAACACCAATACAAGTGTATATAATCCATAAGTATTAAATCAATGCAATGTTAGGAGTGACCATAACTTATACCGATCTAGGTACAGAGACCATGAAAAACATATCAGTCAAATGTTTGTCATCAACAGGCTGCATTACATTATATTATGTAGGATGAATCAACCACTTAAAGCCACACTTCGGTTGCAAATTCCAGATATAAGGACCACTAGAAGAATCCCCATGAATATCAGAAGAGAGGACCGTAATGGAGTTACCTGTTAAGGGATTTCCTCTCTTGTTCTGATAGCAGGTGAATTTTACTTGAAATAGTAAACCTGGTAGAATGGCCTGGGGACTAGAAAGACCTTCCAGTGTCAATTAAAATACTTGCAATACTAAGTATCAAAAACTTACCTGGATCATATGAGCATAAAAGAATACATTTAATTGCAGAAAGGAAATTATAATATACCCTTTCACCACAAGGGAATCTTGTCAGAAATTTCTGAACATTAATTCCTTAAGAACCAAAAGCATGCCACCCCTGACATATCCTAAAGGGATTGCCAAACTCTCAGGTCCCCAAGGGATAAAAGAGAATACTGCATATAAAAAATTTGTACAGTCTCCAAATTATAAAGATTATGCTTTAAGGAAAGGTACGCAGTTCTAAAGAATATGTTAAACCAATTCCAGAGAACCGAGTTAAAAACTTAATAAAAAGCACAAACCAGACCAGAAGTAGTGAATTCTTCAGAGTAGAAGTTTGCGGAAAAATAAAATGATACTAAAGTTAAGACCAGGAGAGAAACAAGCCATTATGAACAGCTTTTTAAATCAGGTAATAGCTTCAGAGTTACCTACTTATGAGAACGATTAATAGCCCAATTTGTGCTCCTGCAACCAGCATGATCTTCTAAGCTGTGCATCAGTAACAGCATATATCTGAAGATAAAACACTGCCACCAAAACATTCCTTATCTGGATAAGAGAGGAGAGGATACTTGGCAATAGAAAAACTTCTCAGAAATGGTCTCATGTATAAATACATAGGAGTGCACACAAAAAAGGCCTTAATTTTGTTAAACAGTACCATGCTCCATTTTGGAAATTCAGATCTCCTTCTCTCCTGGGAGAGGCACTCAGACAGGTTCAGTAACACCTGCAATCCATCTGAAGTGGTAAAATGTGTTAATTGCTTATCCTGAAACACCTGTGGGAGAAGGAATCTAATACAAAGCCAAAAGCAGTATGTTTCCTTATCCACTTCATTTAAAAAAACTGAAATAGAAAATCCACAGGAGGCAATAATTACTTACCCAGTACAACAGTGTATTTGTATTTGCTAGAATTGGGCAGTGCTACATTTCAGCGCAAAACCCAGACCTTAGATCATTTGTATATATTAAATCTATCAATGCAGTGTATAAATTAGGGTTATCTAATACTACCAACCTGCATACAGATTATGTGAATCACATACATTGTGGATGTTTCTAACAGCACCTTATACACAGATATATCAGTTACATATACTGAGTCTGTTTAAACAGTAATCATACCTAGCCTACCTCTGCTATATACAGTGACACTATGCCTGTACACATATTGAGATTATATGAGTGAGATAAATTGAGGCTGTTTTTAACAGAACTTCATGCACATATTACACCACTCATATATACTGAGGTTGTGACTAATAACCCACACAAAAAACCTGCATTAGATTGGACTCATAGAGGATGTGTCTTATATCATTAACATATATTGTGTTTCCACTAATACATCAAGCATATAGTGAACAGATCCACTGAAGCAATGTCCACACCAACTTACATATAGAGCATGTAGAGGTCATATACCGAGGCTGTGTTATCAGAGCAAATAAAGAACACAAACTGAGGCCGAGACTTCCGATCAACTCATACATAGACAATATAGTGGATACATATACTGAGGCTGTGTCCCCATAGTAACTCATACACAGAGCCTATAGTGTGTACATATACTGAGGCTGTGTCCTCACAGTAACTCATACACAGAGCCTATAGTGTGTACATATACTGAGGCTGTGTCCTCATAGTAACTCATACACAGAGCATAAAGCGCATACATAAACTGAGGCTGTGTCTCCATAGTAACTCATACATATGGCCTGTGACGAGACCAATCTCGCCACATTGCATTGGAGAAGCCTGGTTGCTCGCCTGCTGCCTTTGGACTATGGCCCCCTTTTAAAAGACTTTATTTTTGCCTGCAGAAAAGCTGTATTTGTGCTTTTCTGCCTGGGGTTCAGTAGATTTGTTTGAATGTGTTATACCCCAGATAGGAATCCCATGGAGCCCATTTGTATGAAACTGACTGTAAAGACTTTGGCTCCATGGCGATTAAACTGTATTCGTGTGGTCTGAGCGCCATTCACTTAATAATGTGCGCTCGGACCTGAGCTATCTGGGGATATGTTACATGTCTGTGTTTTATGTAATAAATGTGACTTTATGTATTTTAAAGTGTTTTGTGTCTCTTTGCAACCATGTGCTTAATGGAGTCTTGTGTCTGTCCTGGGAGATAATTGAATTACTTATCTCCAGGATAGAAAACTCTGAAACTGGTTTGGGCCAGAAAGCCATGCTTCATTTAGTCACAAAGGACTTTTTACTAACTTTTGAACCCCTTGTCTGATTTGTGCCATTTTTGAATATGTTGTTCCCCTGAATGGATTGATTGAGAATATGTAATTTTATGTGAATGTGATGTATGGTTTTGGAGTTATGAAAGTTGGATAGAAAGTATGTTTTAACTGTTTGTATAATTGAGTTTCCTCTCAGGATAAGGGGAGGGAATATGTGGGATGTAACTGTGATATGATTGGTTGTTTTATCCCTCCCTGTGGGTGGTCCTGTATTTGAAACACTGTAATAAAAACCAGGCTGGGTGTGCCAGCACCTCAGACCACTGCTTGACCCTCAACACGGAGCCTTGTCTCGTTCTTGGGGGGATTCACTGTATGCTGTTAGAGACTGATTGCCAGGAGTGTAAGCTGATTGTCTGCTTTTCCTGTTCGTCTGCTAGCAGCTATTTGGGAGGTTCCAGTTCGGGAGTTGGAGTGCTATTTTGTATCCAGTTCGGGAGTTTTGGTGTTCTGCAGTAGCTGTGCCTGCATCTCTGGAAAGGGGGCCGATCGCCTAAACGGTTTTTACCCCTTGTGCAAAACGGTCCGTTACAATTGGTGGCAAGCGGCGGGATCGTTCCCACAGACTACAGGACAGCTACAGGAGACACCATTTCTTTGGATTTACAATTTGAGGGCAACGCATGTCTGAGTACAGCGACCCTGACAGCAACAGCATGGAACCAGCAGTGTCATACGAGGAGGAGGACCTGGATGGCCGGGATGCATTAAGGAAAGGCATCTGGTACCAGGCCCTGGATAATGTACAGTACCAGCGGGGTGAGAGTCTCCCCAGTGAAGAGCAGCGGTTGCAGAAGCAAGTGGCCCTGCGGATGCCCTTCCTGGGAGAGCAGCCCCTAGATGAATGGGTGAAGGAATTGGAGCACCGGGTATGGCAGGAGATTTGGCTGGAAGATGCCTACCAGGCGCTCTGGTGGTATGGGGCACAGTACCTGCCCTGGACAGCCGAGCATGACAAGCCAGAGGGAGAGGAGTTTGATGGTCCTGGCTTGTTATGGGAGGCTTTTTCAGAGCCTGAATTTGGGAGCCCTACACAAGCCCGGTTCAGTGATCTCTTGGAGTGGAGGGAGAGCAGGTATGACTGGGACGACACTCACGACATTGAGCAAGACCTGGCTCACCTAGCAACCCTGGAGTGGGAACTGGAGCAGGACTACCGAGATCTCTTCCACTCCATTGAGAAGATTCAGCAGGACAGCAAGGTGACAGAGCCAGAGCCAGAGCCAGACCCATTCAGAGGGGACGAGATGGTACAGTTTTACTGGGAAGAACCCCAGGTGGCCGGTAGAGATGGGACCGAGGTCTCTCCACCGGTCCTGCAGGGAATTGGGAGCCCAGTCTCCATTCCCCTGCGGCAGTGTAAAGTGCAGGGAGAGGAGAGCAGTATCCTCCCTCCCCAGCGGCAGGCTGAGTTACAGGGGGCAGAGGTAGTTGTTCCTGCCCCCCAGCAGCAGAGTGATATGCCGGGAAGGCAGTGTAAAGTGCAGGGAGAGGAGAGCAGCGTCCTCCCTCCCCAGCGGCAGGCTGAGTTACAGGGGGCAGAGGTAGTTGTTCCTGCCCCCCAGCAGCAGAGTGATATGCCGGGAAGGCAGTGTAAAGTGCAGGGAGAGGAGAACAGCGTCCTCCCTCCCCAGCGGCAGGCTGAGATACAGGGGGCAGAGGTAGTTGTTCCTGCCCCCCAGCAGCCAAGTGATATGCCGGGAAGGCAGTGTGAAGTCCAGGGAGAGGAGAGCAGTGTCCTCCCTCCCCAGCGGCAGCGTGATTTTTGGGGAATTGGGAGCCCAGTCTCCATTCCCCAGCGGCAGTATGATGTTTTGGGAATTGGGAGCCCAGTCTCCATTCCCCAGCAGCAGGACTCTGTATTGGGAGCAGAGACAGTCGGTCTCCCTTCCCCGCAGCTGGAAGTATGTATGAGAGAGGAGCATGTTACCCCCTCTCCCCAGCGGCAGCTTAATGTATCAGGGGGAGACAGTAAGCCCCACAACTGTGCAGATGGGACCATAGTCTCTACACTGCCAGCACAGGGGGTAGGGACGGTCG